GTGCCTTCAGAACAAGAACTCGGGAACTTGAGATAGCAATTCATCACCTACTTTTTCAAAGAAAGAGGGGGAATATGTTGGGAGCCACTCAGTAAATACATGCCCTTAAGTCCTGAGCAAGAGATACTGAACCACTATTGCACCCTGCAATAATTTAGGCTTTACCTCCGCTCAGATAATAAGGCGTGACTCCAGGAGTAGGCGTCACCCAATGGAGTTGAGTTACACTCACTTATTCCTTTGTAATCCTATCCTTTTGCCCTTTTGGGGATAGAATGTTCCAGAGAACCTCCCCTTGTGTGTCCCCTATATAGGAATAAAGAATTCCAGTGGCTGTCTCTCTTTCCATGGACCCCTAAGTTCAGAGAACTATCCTGGATTTTGACCATCCTGGATTGTGTGTGTGTGTGTGTGTGTGTGTTTTCTTCACCATTTTCTTAAATTATTGGAATAATCATATTTGCGAACCCAGCATAGGTCACAAGCTAGGATAGATGGCGATAGGTGACTAAATAATACACTACTGAATAACTAATGGATAGCTGAAGAAATCAGGGATGAAATTAAAGAAAAAAATAGAGGTAAATGTGAATAGTGAAACAACATATCAAAATCTCTGGGACACTATGAAGACAGTTCTAAGAGGAAAGTTCATTGCATTGAGCTCACTAATTAAAAAAACAGAAAAATCACCAAATAAATAACCTAACTTTACATCTCAAAGCCCTAGAAAAAGAAGAACAAAGCAGCACCATAAGCAGTAGAATATAGGAAATAATAACAATCAGAGCCAAAATTGATTAAATTGAAACAAAAATAATATTTAGGAATTTTATCTCTAGGAATTCAAAAAATTGATGAAATAAAAAGTTTGTTTTTTAAAAAACAGACAAAATTGATAAAAGCTTAGTCAAACTAACAAAGAAAAAGAGAAAACTCAAATTACTAAAATTCTGAGAAAAGGGAAAAATCATCATGAACACCACTGAAATATGCACAATAATTAGAAGCTACTTTTAAAATCTATAAACCAATAAAATAGAAAATACTGAAGACATCAAAAAATTTCTAGAGACATATGACCTACCCAAATTGAATCAGGATGACATGGAAAATTTAAACAGATCCATTTCCAGCAATAAAATTAAAGACACTATCAGAAGCCTACACAACAAAGAAAAGTCCAGCACCATATGGATTCTAAGCCAAGTTCTATGAAAGCTTCAAAGAAGAACTTACACCATACTCCTCAAATTGTTCCATGAAGTAGAAAAAGAAGGAACCCTTTCAAACTCATTCTATGAAGCTAGTATCAGTAATAGAATGGTAGCTTGAAAATCCCACAATTTTTGGAGATTAAGCAGTATACTTCTAAACAATGCATGGATCAAAAAAATCTTAAGAAAAATTTAAAATATTTTGGATGGAATCAAAGAAAATATGACATTAAAATTGTGAGATACGATGAAATCTCTGTATAGAGAGACATTTAAAGCATTAATGTAGTTTGGGTGTTAAATGTCCCCAAGGTAGTGTTTTGAAGATTTGGTGGGACCTTTACTTGGTGAGGGCTGACAGCAGGTCTTTAGATCACTAGGGATGTATTCCCAAAGGGGATCATGGGACTCTAGCCTGTTCTCTTTCTTATTTTCCTTTGCTTTCTGGCTTATAATGTAAGTGGTTTGCTCTACCCATATATTCTTGCTATAGGCCTAAAACAATGGGGGACAATCAATCATAAATGGGAACCTCTAAAAATATGACTCAAAATAAACCATTCCCCTTTATAATTAGTTATCTTAGGAATTTCATTACCATGATGGAAAACTACTCATGCAAGCATTGAATGTATATATTTTTTAAAAAAGAAAGACCTAAAATTTAAAAATCTAAGCTTCCACCTGAAGAGAGAGCAAAAAAAATATGAAGTAACCAAAAGAAAACAGAGGGCATAAATCAATGAAGTCCTAAAAAAAAGAAGAACAAATCAACACCAAAAGCAGAAGAAGTCAGGAATTAATTAAAATCAGAGATGAAATCAATGAAACTGAAATGAAAGAAAATTTTAAAGAGGTTTCTTTCCCTCTCTTCTGTCAGAAGCTCAAGCAGAATTATCTCTGTCATTCAGGTAAGAATCTGGTAGAATTCCTAGAGATAAAATTCCTAAAAGTGTGGGTGTCCCTTGATAATGGGTACCCCTAATGTTTTCCACACTGAGAATCACCAATTACATTTTATGTTTGGGGAGGGTTTTGCTAATCAGTTTCTGCTCCTGTAAGTTGTGATTCTCTGTATTTGCCTGCTGGTACTCTCCAACTTAAGGGTAGCTCCAATTTTAGGGTAGCACAAATTTACCTCACCTTTTGTAGAAAGAATTATTGATTTTTACCTTTGTTTAGCCTTTCCTCATTGTTTGCACCTCTTGAATGGTTGTGTAAATCTCCTATTCTGTTTTTAAGCTGGCTAATTTTAAAGTTAAATTTGATTACATAGTACCCACAACAAATGGTTGCATTCTAGTTTGGTTTGCTCTGGTCTGTTTTGGCCTGATGCAGAAACTTGCCAAAAACAAAAACAATAACTTCCCATAATTTTTTTTTGATACCAGGGATTGAACCCAGAGGCACTTAACCACTGAGCCACATACCTACATTTTTTTTAATTTAGAGACAGAGTCTTGCTAAGTTGCTTAGGGCCTTACTAAGTTGCTGAACCTGACTTTGAACTTGCCATCCTCCAGCCTCAGCAGGGATTACAGGCATGCTCCCATCACACCTGGCCCATAATTTTTTTAACACATAACAATGGCAATCCTACAAATTCCTACAAAAAATATGACTAAAGAACCAATGATATGTGTACAAAGAACACATTACCACAATGTTTACAATAAGTAAGATAATCTATTAAAATGTCTATAAATTTTAAAGATGATAAATGTCATTGAAAACCAGATATAGGAGCTTAGAGATGGTAGAGTTGCAGGTTGCAGATCCTACTTTTTCTGCTGCAGCAGGCAAATACAGCAGAAATTGGAATCAAAACAATCAGAGAATAGCTATTCAACAAGGTGAGTGACAAAGAGTACACAATGAAGGACAATTATAGATGAGCAGAGACTTAAGACTCTGAAACTATGGTTATTAAAACAGAAAGCAAGAAAGAATTCATCAATCCCAAACCTGCACCTGCAATGTCAGGAAAAATCTGGGGAAGGTGTGAAAAACAAAGAAACAGAGGCAAAACTAACACCTTTGCCTCAGAAACACTGGTAGAAATGAAATGCACACCAAATTAAGCTGGAGCAGAAGCTGCAAAGTGAGCTGATGCGTAAGAAGTGTTCTTCTTTTCTCTAATCTGTTGGTGAATTGGAGCAGGCAGTCATTTTATAAATACAATGCCTAAACTGGCAGCTCTAAAATGATTACATTTACATAGTTTTGTCCCACCAAGAGATACCGGCAAATATTTTCATGGGAAATGCCTTTAAGCCAGGCATCTAATTAACTTATGTAGTGGGATCACTATGAATCAAAATTTCCTGAGCCCCACCACCAGCAAGGGAATGGAGCAAAGCAGTCAAAGAGGAGGTGGGGCACTGAAACTGTCCAGGTGTAGTACATTTATACACATGCCACAGCTCAACAGAGTTTAATTTGCCCCCAGGTTGGAGAAATCTATCAAAAGGATTCACTAAGGAGCTCACAGGCCCTGGCACCAGACAGACAAAGTAGCAGTATAAGCCAAGGATAAATCAGGCTGCTGGGCCACAGATAATATAGGCCCTTTCCCTCAGGGCCCCCAGAGAGCTCCTAGGAGCCCAGGCACACAATGGAACCACTGAAGTCATCTACATTTGTACTAGAGGTAGGCAGAATTAAGTTTGTATGAAGAAGCATCAGACCCTGAATTCTGTGCAGTTTGTGAAGTAGAACTCTGTTAGATTGGGCGGGGAAGGGAAGACTAAATATACAGTTCTCCAAACCAGCACAGAGACAACTGGTATTGTCACTACCTCCATGCCCAGAGACACTCAGAGGTCATGCAGCCTCTAGGTAAACAAATGAGAATCAGGATAGAATAAAACATTAGAAATAAATCAAAATGGCAAGATTATAAATACCTGTCTATAATGATACAAAATGGCAAGATTATAAATCTTGTGTATAATGATACTGTATGTAAACGGTTTCAACTCCCCAGTTAAAAGACAGAATTGTCTAAAAAAAATACACTACATAAATAGAGCCAATAATAAAAACCAAATAATCATCTCAATAGAAGCAGAAAAAGGCTTTGACAAAATTCAACACCTACTCATGATAAAAATCCTGAAGAAACTAGGGATAGAAGGAACTTACATAAGCATTATACAGGCTACATATATGGCAAACCCAAAAACCAAAATCATACTGAGGAGAAACCAAAGTCATTTCCCCTTATACCAGGAACAAGACAAGAATATCTACTTTCACCATACCTTTTCAATATAGTACTTTAGCCAGAGCAATAGGCAAGAGAATGAAATAAAAGGGATGCAAGCAGGAAAAAATAAGTCATCACTGTTGGTAGATATGATCGTGTTCTCAGAAGATAAAACAAACATACAAAAGAACTGCACCAGAAGAGTTCTAAAGCTGATAAATTCAGCAGAGTAGCAGGTACAAAATAACATAAAAATTAATAGTTTTTCTATATACTAATAATGAATCTACTGAGAATCAAGAAAACAGTTTCACAGCATATTATTTTTACAAAGTGAAATAAAATATATTACATTTGAAAATACACATAACTCTCTCAATTTATTACATAAAAGAAAAATTCAGATATCTAAATGTCTGTGTGAAGAATAAAGGAAAATAAATAATGCTTTCCAATGCCTTTTATAATTCGTATTGAATCTAGGCTAATATTGCTAACTGTATATCACATTCCAGTTTCACCAACCAATGAAAGTTTTAATATTTTACATTTGGCAGTTTACACAGAATACATACATCATGTTCTTCTTTAACTGCTTCTTCTAGCTGAACTGCAAATTGTGAACAATTTACCAAGAACGAATTCATATCATCCCCAACCTTTCAGAAAAAATAACAAAACAGAAAGTTAATTTTATTTTTCATAATCCATTTGCATACTTTTCTTAGTACACATAACTATATTTTGAAAATATTTCAATTTTTGTGTAATTTATATTCCTTCAAACACGTAAGGCAAGAAACCATGCTTCAAATGCAAATTTTCCCAGAAAGAAAATGTGGAAGAAAGTATAATATGGGAATTGGTCCATTAATGACGTACTGATTCTCCTCTTCTCATTCTCCTCTACACATCTGCAGAAAATCAAACAGCCCAGCCTTACTCTCCTGAAATTTCAGGTGGTCTAAAAAAGGTAACCACTGTGTGTATAACTTAAAAATATCTCTTTCTGCTAGAGAGTGAATGTGACACTAGGACTGTACCTCAGTGATAGAATGATTACCTAGCATGGACAAAGCTCTGAGTTTAATCACCATAATCACACAAAATTAAAAAAAAATGTATGTGAACTACAACTTTTGACTAAAAGTACACTTAAAATGAAGACTACAGTTTTTTGCTAAGCAATAGAAAACTTTGAGGAAGAAAATAGTTACAGATTAACACATCACAACAATTTAAGCTCTTGTAGTAGAACAGTGATTTATAAATCAGAAAACCGACCTATGATAAACAAGTCTTAAATGCACACATACAGTTAAGATTCTCACAGAATGGTTTTCCATGAATGGTATATTCCTTGAACATTACATTTTAAACATTCAAAGAGAAAAAAACTGAAATAATCATCCAAGAGAGTGGGAAATGCACAGATTAGAGTTACTAATCAAAAATATAAAGCAAGACCACCAGCATACTTTAAGATTTTTCATACACTCATATTTCAGATGCACAAACACAGAAGATGGAGATCAATCTCACTAAGTTTGCAGTTTAACCAAATAACATCTAAAAAGGAGACAAGACAGGGCAAGAGGGTTAAATACATGTGAAAAGAAGTGTTAATAATAATGAATCGTGCAATTAAAGCTGGGTAAGAGGACAGAAGGACACTAAAATGGGAGTAGGACCAACAGATTACAGCTCCCAGTGAAATCAAAGAATTTCTGAACTCAGAATATTAAATGTACTAAGTAGGAAAGATAGAAGGTAGTGGCTATTGATTAGATGATTGAAATTCCAATTATGAAACACTTACTAATAATGACAAAGATTAGAGAATGCCACTTCTCAGCAGTTGGATAGAAGATACGATCACTGGGGGAAAGAAATTCAATGGCATAAAAGGCTAAATTATTTGGAAAGTTCTTCTGCATGAGCACTGAAATAATCGAGAATAATGACAATAGTAGATGTTGTGAGAAGTAGATTATATAATAATTCAGATTATAATGGTCTATCATATATCAATTCTTCCTTTCTTCCTAATAGAAATTTAACTTTATTGGACATGGCAATACATACATAAAATGATAATAATGATGATAAATTTTTAGCCTCATTTACCAATAATGGTAGTCATGTGTCCCAATCAGTCCAAAGAAACAAAAGGAAATTATTGTCAAAAAGATCCAGTAGTGCTAGGAAGTAGTCAAAAGAGCCACTTAACATTAGGATGCAAGAAGACACAAAAGGTCTTCACTCCAGTGTTAATATAATGAAAAGAAAAAGAATAATCTTCATGTTTTTCCTTGAGGATATTGAAAAGGCAAGAACTGAATTCCACAGAACAAGCTCTTTATAAATGACCAAGGAACCAAAGCCATATCCATACCTAATGGGGGCATAGTAGATATAGGATGGTAGTTGACCCAGTGTATACAGTCTAAAACCAAACATGGCATTGACAAACAGAATTTGAAGCAATGAAGAAAAATCAACGGAGCCTTTGACAGTCAGTCAGCCTGATAGATGAACAGGAATGAGAAAAAGTACCCAATGCAAAAGTAAATCATTCAACCCAACAAGGTTTCTCCCACCAGAGCCCTCCACGTTTGAATTTTTCTAAGAAGATGGCAGAAATGGAGGTCTACATATCCATTGTGAATGACCAAAATTAAAAGGACTGACAACATCAAGTTTGGTAAGAATGTGGTGCCACTGGAACTATCATACAAGCTGTTAGCAACTCAAAATGATACTGCCCTGTTAGGAAACAGTTCAGAAGTTGTTCACAAAGTTAAACATATACTTAAACAGTATAAACTATTACTTGAACTCTTTTTTTCTATTTTTTTCTAATTGAACTCTTAATAACATATATGTTCTCCAAAAGAATTATATACAAATGTTCATAGAGTTTCATTCATAATAGCCAAAATAGTTATTGGATTCAAAAATACAAATTGTTTATTAACTGGTAGGTAGATAAACAAATAGTGGTATGGCATGCAATGTAGCACTCTTCAAAATAAAAGGAGCAAACTACTGATATGTGGATACAACAACATGAATAAATCTCAAAGATATACGTAATAAGGGTGAAAAGCTGAATAAGCAAGTCTATATACTATGTGATTCTATTAATATGAAATTCTCAAAAAAGCAGAACTATATTGAAGGACCAATGACAAGATAGGAGGAAAGAACTGAACACAAAGAGGTACAGTGAAGCTTTTTGAGATAGTGGAAATGTTTCAGATTTTGATTATAGTAGTGACTGTAAACGATAAAAAAAGAAGAAATTAAGAGAAATTCTACTCTGTATATTCTTGTGATGGTCACATTTTGAAGCTCTGCCAGATTTAACCAAAATGTAACCAAACCTATTTAAAATTGAATTCCAAACTCTTGCCAGCTCAAACACTGGCAGGATCAAAGAAATCAATCCTTCCAGGAAAGCAACAAAAAGGAAAGGTTGTAGATTATAGAAATCAAATGAGAATCAATTAAATTAAAAATTAATGGTTCCAGCTCAATTCAATTCTTAGGAGAGTGCAAATGCTTAGCTCTTCAGTCTAAATGCCAAAGAAAAGAATAAGCATTCTCCAGAAAATAAATTATATCTCCACTCCCAATGTTCAGAATATTACAATGCTCAGAATTCAATATAAAAATATATAAAATATATGAAGAACCAGGAAAATGTAATCCATAATCAAAAGAAAAAACAGTATAAGAAAACACTCTGATGACCTAGACATTAGAATTAGAAGTCAAGGAAATTTTAAAATCTATTATTGATAGAAAGCATTTTCCAGGAAAGAAAAATAGAATAGGTAAAGAGGTGTAAAAAATAGCAGAACAGATGTAACAATATCTTCAAAGCAATCAAAAGGTAATCCTAGATATGAAAATTATAATATTTGACATAAAAAATTATCAGATGGAGCTTAACAGCCAATCAGACAGTATAAAATGGATTGAACTTGAAGACAGTCTAAGGTATATTGTCCAAATTGAAACACAGCGTTCTCCAGCATAATACAAACCTTTCTGACAATACTTATCTGAGTCAAAACCAAAAAGCATTCTTCACCACCACTCCTGTATGTCAGCAGGTCTGAAAAATAGTGTGGCAGTAAAAATTGGCCTTCCATTTTCCTCAAGGTATTGTCAGTAGGGTTGAATGGAGAGCAAATTTTTACCATCTCTCTGGTAGATATAGATGGCAGCCCACAACATACCAGTGTTATGCTGGTGGGGCCAACCCAGAAACTTCTCTTTTACCCTTGTCTGAAAAAGCTAGCAGTAGAATGCAGCAAGGATATCTGCTCTTACCACTAACATTTGATGCAATACTGTAAACCATTGCTAGCACAAGAAGTCAAGCAAAGAAAATACAAAGTATTTGGATTGCAAAGGAAGAAGTAAAACTCTCCTTTGAATGAGACATAATTGTCTATACAGAAAATTCCAAGGAATCTATAGAAAATTTCTAGAATGTAAATGTACATTGAACAAAGTTGCAAGATACAAAATCAGATGCAAAAACAACATATAAAAATCAATCATGTATGTACACTCATACAAAACATGGAAATAAAATTAAATGCCATTTATAATTATTTCAAAAAACATAAAATATCAATGTATAATTAAAGAAATAATGTACAGTATCTAAAGGATAAAATTTTTTAAATGCCAGTGAAAGAAATCAAACAAGACCTATATAAATGGAGAGAAAAACTAAATTCATGGTTGAAAGACTCAAATATATCATTACACAGAATCAAACTCAATCCCTAATAAAACTAATTATATAATTAAAAAGTACTACTCCATGTATCAAGTGTAGTGAAGTATGGTTGAATATTAAAAATATGTAAAATAACTCATCATAAGCTGAAGGAGAAAAATCATATAATTATCTTAATAGCTGAATTATTCCAATATTCATAATGAAGATATTTGTTAAAACTCAATAACTTCCTTTATTCTTTTTTTGGCAAGACAGAAACACTTTTCCAGTACTTTCTCAATATGTTGATACAAAACATGCATCTCAAACTGACACCAAGTCCATCCTTAAAAATTAAATAGGAGAAGCATTATTATTAAAAGTAGACTCAAGATATAAATACACCTTAATTAAACTTTAAGATAGGGGTTGACAGGGGATGAAAAAACTAGTACACTTCTGTCAAATTTTCCAAAACTATTGTTTTCATGCATAGGGAATTCATTCTGAGAACATATGTGGAGGCGAAAAGAAAACCTTTTCACTTTTCAATGTTAATTTCTCTACATTAAGGTTATATACTTACAGATAAAGATAATTCTTTCTCCCCAGGCTTTGCTACTGGTTTTGCTCCATCTTCAACACTAGATCCATAGGATTCTTCTAAAGTAGAAACAACCTATGAAAAAATACAAAGCAAATTAAATATTTTCATACTTTAAAATTAATTATATTAAATGTAAAATGTAAATGTAAAGTCAATAATGCCAGGATCTTTTTATCAGTAAGACATTTCTGCCAGTGCTATAATCTTAAACTTTCCATTCCATGCCCCATCATATATCATCAAGATCATATCATCAAGCCATCACGTATCATCAAGCCGTAAGGAATAGTCCTTGATTTTACTCCCTAGCAATGGAGAGATGTTCTGGCTACCATTTCTGTATTGATAAACATCTGAAAGAGAAAGGGTGTGTACATACATGATGGTTGAAGCATTAAGTAGGGTTTTACTCAAAGTATGTTTTGACTTTCTTCTATGAAGGGAGTAAGAAAATAGAAATGTGGAGACAGAAATCAATACAGATTTAGAGGAATTTCTCTGTGCTAACACCTCAAACTTTGAACTAGTATTGTGGAAGTTTGACAAACTATATTGTATTCTCCCTCATTGTTCTCACATATATCTGGTACATTCACAATTCAATTCTGAATCATTATACCAAAAAAAAAATCTCAGAGAACAAGGGCTATTTTTACAACACTATGAACTAGTTCTGAAGTGCAGAGAAGAGTTAACATAGCAGACATGAGACTCAAAAGTGTGTCGTTATGAATTCCCACTTGCAAAGCTGGCCTTAGCCTAGCATTAGATAAGGTGAATTTCAGGAAGCTTCCTACCATTCACTAATGAGTGGCTCCTATCCCTAAACTGTTTGTACAAACAATGATTTATGCTGCACACCTGATCTTCTTGTCTGATTGGAATTTTAGTACATGCTAGACATAAGGCACCTAAGTGACTACTCCCAATAAAACTCTGAGCACTGAATTTCTAATGATTTTCCCTAGCAGACATTTCACCTGTGTTGTCACAATTCATTGCTAGAGAAATTAAACATGTTCTGCATGACTCCAAAGGGAGAGGATTCTTAAAAGCTTGGACCTGGTTTCCTCTAGATTTCCCTTCATGTGTCTGCTATAATAAATCTTACCAACAGTATAACTATATGCTGAGTTCTATGCATCCTCCTAGAAAATCACCAAACCCAGGGGTCATTATAGTGACTTCCCAACATGGGAACCAGCAAGTGTCTTACCACCTTCAGATGGTTGGTAATCTTCCTGATCATTTCATCTTCTGCTATTAACTCCTTTGTCTTACTTGATGGAATGGGCAAAGCATACCGTACAATGGATTCTCCTGTTGGTGGAGATCTTAGAACCATTGGTTCAATTTTATCACGTACTGATTTTGCACCATGTTTTTCTTTTGGATTAGGTAACAATGGTAAATTAAGTTGTCTTTTTTTTTGAGACAATTCTGGAACACTTGCTAATTTGTTACTATTGGATGACAGATTGATTGCTGACTTCATTTTGTTATCAATTTAGCTTCCAAATTGTAGATGAAAAATTTAATTTCTCCCTGAGAATAAAACATTAAGACATTCAGAGAAATCTGTACATCGTTTAATTAATCAATAAAAACAGAGTCATTCTAATTGAATTCACATATCATATGTTTCTATTGGTCTAACATTTTAGCAATTTGTTCAGAATACATCAAGCAACTTCTAGGAACTACAATTACACTTTTGACTCTTCTGAGTTACAATTATTTAAATAAAACAATGAAAGAACACAGTTATCAGTGTATCTAATTTACAAAAAGAAGTTATTTAAACCTAAGTGTAATAACTATAACAGTAAAAGATTCATCATAGATCAATTTTGCTACAAATCGTGTTTCTTTCCTGTACTATTCGCTTTCAGAGTGTTGACATTTTTATCTATACACTTTATAGTATTTTGTATTTTATATATGTGTGGGCAAATAAATTAAAATATTTCAGAATTTAAATGATGGAAGAATTATCAATTCATATGAAAATGGCAAATCCCAAAACCAACTCCAGAGAAATTACAAAATGGAGAAGAAAATGTTCCTAACAAACAATATGTTTTAAAAAAACTGAAAAAGTGGAGCACTGGTGGATTGTTTGGAATGAGAATGCAAGAGGAAAGAAGGCAGAGGCAATAGTGAAGAAATATATTTAGAAAAAAATCAAATTCTGTTCTTACCTTTCCCCCATATTAAGCTAATTCATGCCCCTAATATACATCATTATTTCCAAAGCTACTCTGAGATAAAGAAGTATAGACTGGATAGGCCCTTGACTTTCATTCTTCTACTCCTCTCTCCCTCCAAAACTGATTACAAATCCCAGAATAATGTCTCCTCCTAAAGAATATTAAAATGTGAATAGAATGGCAAAATTGGAATAGAATAATATCAGAATAACATCAGTTCTGCTACTTGACTCTCACCACATGTAAGCTAGACCTAGTGGGCCTTGAACTATGTCTCCCAAAAAAAGATGTTTTGAGTCCTAATCCCTGATGCTGTAAATGTGACATTATTTGAAAACTGGTTGTTTCATATATAATCAAGCTGAAGTCTTACGGAACACTGGTGGGTCCTAAATCAAATGACTAGTTTCACTATTTAAAAAAAAAAAAGTGGGAACAGAGGCAGAGATTGGAGTGATATACTTGCAAGCCAAGGGATTTCAAGGACTACAGGATTCCTCTAGAAGAAAATGAGAAAATATAGACCTGCCTTTGTTGATAACATACTAAACATTATAAATTCAAATTTCAGAGAGTCAGTATCTAGTATTGAGAGGATCTCCCAATAAATTTGAAGAATCTGACAATAGAAAGATTTCATTTGGCAGAAATCATAATAAAAGATCACGGAATTCTATCAGCATATCTATGTAAAATATCAACACCAAATAACAGGCTATTGTAGGGAATAAAACACAAAACCAAATGATAGGAATTACTAATGTTATAAATTAAGTCATTTTGTTTATAAAATTCAGAATTGAGCCTGATCTCTCTCTTACTGCAATAGTTTTGGTATCTATTACAATATTCCTGAATAAAGTATTTCTTATCATCTAAAAAAATAATTAAATCACTTTGAATAAGGTTTTTTAAATATTACTATTTCTCAAGAATTTTGATGCAATCCCTAATATAAACAAATAATAATTTTTTATATAATTGTGGATTTTCAAAATATTTGGAAATATGTGTATTTCTGCATGTGAACTTTTTTTTGTATTTTAACCAGTAGAGGACACTGTTAAAGGATCATGCACATGATTTACAAAGAAATGTTTTTAAAATACACGTTTACCCACTCTTCCAACACACTCAAACGGAGCCAGAGATACATGCTTTAACAAACAGAAAATTCTCAAAAAGAAAAATTCTAAACATTTTATACAACTTGCTAATACATTATTTAAACTTGGATTGTGAACAATATAGCAAAAAATACCTTGACTGTGCTGAAAACTTTTACTTCATCTAAAAACAACTGCTTTATTACTACCCAATGATACAGTATAGTTAGTTGAAAACAAAGCTGCCAAATAAGTTTTAAATGTAGTCAAATATGAGTTAGGAAAGATATTTGATGACAATGTCCCACAAAAATTCATTTGAAGGAAGAACACAATGCTCTTCTGAAAATTGTTGATGACAATACCAAATGTGTACTTTATAAAATTTATGTCGCAGGCTTCCATCCCAACTTTTAAATATTTCTCACACTAATTGTGACTTAATGCTTCAAGTAAAATTAATGTTATAAGAAAAATGATGCAGAAACTAAAGTTAAACTTATATAATTGTAAAGCATCAAAAAGTGTTAAAGGAATTATACTGCCAAAGAAATTCCATCAAAAACAGAGAGAAGAGGACCTGCAAACAGTATTTAAAATGAGTAGCCCATGATCCATAAGGTAAAACTAAGAGGGGATATGTTGAAAGCGAAGAGAAGAAAACATCACACAAGACTGAGTGATGAACTATGTCAAATGCTGAGAAAGGTAAAATGAAAAGAATTGACTCTGGATTGTGAATATATAAATTCTAGAGAAAATTTACTATAAAAAAGGGGTAAACAGTTCCTTACTAGAGAGAGGAAATATGTAGTCAAAGGGAGGGAATTTTTTTAATATAAGAATATTTGTATGCTGTTGGGGTTGAATTGTATCCTTCCAAAAACTAAATTCACGTCCCAATTCCAGAACCTGTGAACTTTGTGTGGGAAGAGGGTCTCTGCAGGTGCAATCAAGTTAAAATGGGCTCATGAGATTAAAATGGGCCCTAATCCAGTGACTTTATTATCCAAAGATAAAACATGGATCCAGACACACATGTAAAAGAATGCATGTTAAGACTAAGGCAGATATTGGAGTGATGTGTTTAGAAGCCAAAGGACACCAAGGATTGCCAACCATCACCAGAAGCTAGGAGAGAAGTTTTGGATGCAGTCTCCCTAAGAACCTCCAGTAGGAACCAACCCTGCCAACACCTTGATTTGGGACTTCCAGCCTCCAGAACTATGAGATGATAAACTTCTGTTTCAAGCCACCAAGTTAGCCCCACTTTGTTACAGCATCCCTCACATATACACACACTGATGAAAATGATCCAATGGAAAGTTGTCTGGTAGAGATTAAAATGCTCAGATAATATCTTTGAGGAAACAAGGAGTTTTAACACAAATGGAGCAACTTGCTTCAGATTGGTACAAAAAAGTTTTTATGTATGCCTGATTACAGGCAGGAGGGCAGAGATGTAAGATGTGATCTGCTTCAAGAAACCAGTAAGAAAATAATATAACATTTGCTTGGTGCAAAAGAATACAGTCTAAAAAATGCACCCATGAAGTTCACATAAATACAATAAACAGTAACATGAGGTGTATTAGCAAGAAAATAAGAATTTTACATATTTATTACATTTAGCCCCATTTAGTCCTTCTAACAACCTTAAAAGGTAGATATTTTATCACCGTTAACTTGCCCAAGTTTATTGGTCACTGTCCACCATTAACACAAATATTTTGTGGTTTTACCCTTCAGGATTAATTTCATATTCATTTCAAACCCTTTAATCAAACAGTATTTAAAAAAACAGGAAAGCAAGAGGGATCGAGAAGCACTGTCTAGGGAAATAAGTGATTTGCCTTAGATCTTCCATCATTTAAAAAAAAAAAAAAACACTAACCCCACACACTGTAATCCCAGGGACTGGGTAGGCTTTGGCAGGAGTATCGCAAATATGAGTCCAGCTTCACCAATTGAGTGAACCGGTCTCAACATTAAAAAAAAAAAAAAAAAAAAAAAAAATGAAAAGGGCTGGGGATATAGTTTAACGGTAAAGTGCCCCAGGCTTCAAGGAGAGGAAGAAGAGATGGGGAGGGGAGAAGATTAGCACAGCTGCCAACTGCTTCGCGCAGCAGGAAAACTAGCGGGAAAGTAGGGACGCTCCGCCCTCGCGGCCAGTGAAAACCTTCTGCTGGCTGGGGAGAGGGCCTCGCCGCCGCTGCCCTCCCAGGCGAATACCTGCAGAGGCGGTTGCAAGTCCGGTTACGGGTAGTTTTACTTCGGCTAGGCTGATTGTAAAACGGGAAACTGTCTAGGAAAGTTGGAAATGGCGAGCTTCCTAGACTTCCTTGAGGAAGGAAGCCAGCAAACCCTTGAGACTCCAGCGCCACCCTTTACAAACCTACATTTGTGCTGAAAGGAAAGGCCGGGCCTTTGTGTCCCGTCCCAGGGCGGCCACAACAACCGCAGGGCGCGGTCTCCAACCTGCCTAGACGCCTTGGCACCCGCAAGGCGTCTGAAACGTCCTCGGGCCGCGTGCTGCGGCCCTCCTTGGCGCACGCGCTCAGACGTCCAAACCGCCAGAATCGGGGGTACCCGGATGCCCGGGCTCCAGCTTCGCGGCAAGCGGAGGACTTGGTGAGAAATCCGCACAGGGGTCTCTGAGAAAAAACAAAATAAAATGGGCTGGAATGAGCACTGAGTGGCATATACAGTCTAGGGCCTTTGACAGTGTCCTCTTGAGTAGCTCTGATTATCAGTTGTTATCGATTTAATAGTTGTTTAGATGTGGGGCAGGGAAAAGGGATAATTTTGTTTCATTACAGTAGAAAAGTGAGAATCTTGCCCGGATGATTACTGTTAGGTTGTAGAGTCCAAAACTATAAAAGCCTTGTTTCCTTGCGTCAGCGCTGTCATTGGCATGTATTGTGTGCTCAATAAATATTTGTTGAATGCATGCTGTTGGTGAATTTCTTCAGGAAAAAATCGATCTTTAGTTTATTGAAAGTATGTTTCCAAAATTGCCTAAGCATTTTTATTTCAAAAAAGCATTTGCAAGATTCAGAAATTATTACTTGTTGTGAATGATAAAATGGATTCATCTGCCATTATATCACTTAAAAACACTGAAAGATAAATATTACTTTCCCAGTGTTTTATGAAACACGTTGTGCAGCCAGAATTCC